TCAGTAATTTTATTCTCTTAATTTTTCGACCTAAGTCGAGGGTCTACTTAATAAATTTGAATAGGAATTTAGATGAATACATAATTGGATTTGTCCAAACTTCCTTATTTAAGAAGATCTTTAATAGTAGATATTTATTCAATTAGTTATTATGTTTGTCATGTTTACTACTCTCATTTTATCTTAGTCTTCAACATCTATCTCGAGTTCTACTCGGTTGACTGCAAACAACCTGAAGTACCGGGGCCAAGGCCGTGGAACGTTTAGCTAAGCACGCGACGAGTTTTTGCACTGTCGGACTTGGAAAGGAAGAAATAAAGAAGGCCCAAGTCAGGTGGCAAGTCATGTCGTATCATATGAACTGATTTTAGACGATAAATAAAACTAATTCTTTCAACAACTTCATCCATCTATTATCTTATTCAAATATTTAATCCGGCTGTTGAACTTTGTGCCGCCATATAAAATATAATAGGCAATAAATTCTACATTTATTCCCTTGTTTACACATCAATAAAATAACAGGAAATCTTCATCAATGAAAAGGGATGGATTTTTATAAGCTCCTCCCTATTTAACTTGGAAAAAATATGCTTTCTTTTGACTAAATTGACTTTTATCTCAGCTTCATGAATATTGCCGTTTAGATAAAATCTTATTGAGTTTTAACTTTTCATTTATGAACATCGAGCGTTAATTAGCTCAGTTTTTATTCTACTACCAAGAAGTTAATTTTATTATGGGAATAATTTACTCCATTTCTCGTCATTTAACTGCTGAAAAAATTGATTTTTCTATTCAATATACTTGACATTATTACTAATATTTTCATGATTTGAATTAATTGTAACAATACAAATATTGAAAGTTGATTTTTGATTAAAATTGTGGGAACTATTAAGATTAGCTACCTTGTTTCCGGTGACCTTGAAATTGAAATAAGTTATGGAAATCACCATTAGAAAATATTAGTAATGATAAGATTATTTTAATCCAATTTATTTCAAAATTGACGAGTTGAGAAGTGAAAATGTGGTAATTTTATACTATCGCAGTCCTTTCATTGTTTTGGCTCTAGAAAATGTTTGTTCTATGTTTAAAATACTTGTCTAAATTTTCAATATTTTAAATAAAAAACTGATTGAAAATTTTACATTTTAAAATTCCAAAAATGAGAAAAAATGTATGTTATAACATTGTAATAATAATTTTAACATTAATATTTTTTATAATTATTATTTAAAAATTATAACACCAATTTTGGAGCATAAATATTTGTGGCATTTATCATTTAATATTAAATATTTTACAGCGAAAGTTTTTATATTTTAAGATGGACTTTAATACTGTAAGAGGGACCGCCATGCCCATCATGCTATGTAACAAATGAATGTGAGTTTCTCATTTGACCTCAACGTCCTGTTGGACGATCAATATAACAGTTAATATATTATTAATAATAACTGAATATTGTTATTTACCATTCAACGTAAAAAATAGTAACAAGAAAATATTTCAGGAAGATAATAATATATGAAATATTATTCTACTGAATTACCAGTCATTCGATGACACTACTGATTAACGAATTAGTATTAATTGTAATGGAAAATCCAGTAAAGATTCTGCTGATTCCAATTTACAGGATTGACAAATATTTATTGATCTTACTGGAATAAAAATCAATAACAATCTATTAAATTTCAGTAGACATGAAATAAATATTTAAAAACCAGAAGATTACAATATTTGTCACGTGTATTCACTTTTTAAGTACATGTAAGCAATATATAATCGTCAATTGATACCTTTTCTATTGGATATTTTCTGAGAACAACGTAATTGTTGTAGATTTACTGGAAACGATCGCGTAATTTGCGTATTAGATATATTTCAGCTTGTGCAGTTATGCAAATTAGTGAACTGTCATGCTGAAGATGGAGTGACGAAGGCATCTGTTCTCAATGTACAGCCTCTCATGCTCCTGGTCTCGTCAGTCCGGTCGGAAACCACCTCCCTGCGGCGCCTTATTGTCCCCAACTTAAAGCGCGCGAAGAGCTGTCCACGGAGAATGAGCTAAGTTTTTCTTTCTAGCAAATTCGCGCGACAAAAACTACAGTACGTTCTACACAGGTCATCATTGCTTTGAAGTCTAAAAGAGCCTCAAGCGTATCTCAAATACATTATTGTTGGTTTTACCCTTAGTCTTCCTTTTTTTCGGTCATATATTTATTCTTTGTGACTTTTCACATTGACTTGAAACTTTCCAAAAAGATTCTAAATCTAGGGATGTTTTTATTACCCTTCGAACCCTGAGACATTACTTGCGGTATGTACATAAGACTTGTAAAGTGAGAATTGATGATCCCTTTTTTAGTTATTTCCGTCGATAAAAAATTTTCTACTGAATAAGGGATTTTTTGGGTATCACGAAATTCGGTTGGAAGAATTGCTCAAGTGTTTGACATGTGGTATTTAGAGCTAAAAGTAATCCATCAAAATATTTATTGAGAAAATATCTATTTTACCATTTCTTTTATATAACTTAGTGGTGACAATTTCCGGTAATTTTTATTCTCCTGTTGTTGAGACAAAATAGATAGATAATAAAATGGAAACATTTATCCTTCTGATAATTCCAGTCATTTTTTATAATTGTTTCTGCAGAAAAATGACTTGATAATTGAAGTAACGAAGAGCTAACGTTGAAATTACTCCGAAAATAATTGATTACTGTAGAAATAATACAGTACCGTTTTAATTAATTATCTCATCAGATAGCTGTAGGCACTATTGAGATAGTCGATTGATGATATCTAGAATAGTTGTTTCGGAATATGTAAAGTAGTAAAATTTACTTTGCAAAATAGGGAATCTAACGAGGTCGCATCCCAAATTGTACTATTGTTCAGAGTAGATCATTATAAAAATACTTGCTACCAAAATTGTATAATGTTTTTAGCTCAATTTTTAAACAATACCAAAATGATCAAATCAAAATGGCTGCGAAAACTATGAAGGGTACGTACCGTACGGTATTATTCCTACAGAAATGAGTTGTTTCCAGTACGTTAGTCTCTTCTTCTTAGAAGGATTTGTAACGAGTATTCTATGTAAATATAACAGTAAAAATCAAGAGCATATTCACTTATTCATTTTTAAAAATAAAGTATTATTCGAAAAAAAATTAATTGTTTACAAAATCATTTAGCGATAGGAAATTCAAAAAGTTTTCCGAGTTCTACACTGGGAAAGAAACATTTTTAGAGCAATCTAATAAAGTACAGTTGGAATAAATAGCTATCAAGGCAATACTTATGCCTTCTTTAATTATCTGCATAACTACCATAGCTATCTTAACCATGCAGGCAAGCGAAGTATTGCCATAGTAACAATATTATGAATATTAGAGATTAGATAATTAATCTAAGAGATACAGAATTATTTTCACAATATTTTTTTCAGTGTAAATCAAAAACTGTCCATGAATTTACTAAAAGATTGTTCGAAAGACGTCGTTACACTTGTCTTCAACAGTAATTTCCTCTTTATTATTTTTTACAAGTGCGAAGAAATAATCAATTGTGTTTCAAAAACTAATCAGCCAAAATTGATTTCAGTTTTATTTTACGAAAGCTGCTAAAATTTGATTGTTTTAAATCGATGCAAACTTGTATTGATGCTACTTTATTGAACGTAACAATTTTCTCAACAATAAACTTTAATTATATTAGAGTCAATCAATTCCAATTTTTTCATTTAAATTATTCAGGTTCATTTGTTTTTTTGTCGTATTTGATTGCATTTGGATCGATCAATTTAATATTATTAGTTTTAAAAAGCATTTGTATCTAGACCCAAATCTACTTTTATGATTTTTAAAAAAAATAAACATAAATTTTCATTACTCCTATGTCTTCGTAGAATTTCAAGAAATAATTATTTCCTATTTATATGTTGTTTTCACTCAGCAATATAGCCAACAGAATTCAAAGAAGAATTTTAATGTAAGATTGGATATCGAACTTAATGTCGGTTGGCCATAATCAACTCAAGTCTTATGTGTATTGCATACTAATTGGATGGGTTTTATACATGGAAAAGAAAATCCAAGTACATATCTTAGGCTTTATTATTGCATAACACTATGAATTATTGAAGCATTCGAAAAGAAAAAAAAACGAATATTTGCTTAAATTTTTTAGCGTTTCGAGAATTGAATAGTTAAAAAAAAATAATCACTTAAAATTATACTGTAAAAATAAATAATAAATATAATGAATTTTAAAATATGATTTAAAAATGAAATGTTGTAACATCTTGTAACGACTCAACCTATTATTATCTAATTTTAAAGCGTTTTCGAGAATAAACATATGCATCATGCATTCTTGTGCTACTACTTAAAAAGTTGTTGGGTAGGTATTCAGTCAAGCTTAGTTATATTATGCATTAAAACTGTCCAGTTGAATTTTCGAATATGGGAACCAGCTAAGGATAAAGCAATTCTGTCTAGTCATATTGTCGGAAATGTTAGCCAGGGACTGGCTTCATATATTAGGGTGTTATACTAAAGTAGAAGTAAGAACAGACCAAGTTACTTTCACTGAGTTTCTACAAGACTGAAGATACCTTGCCCTAAGCTAGTTATTTCTTTTTAATGATAGTAATAATCGTTCTCTCTTTTTTTCCGGCTGATAATGATTTTTTATGACTCACAATAGTATTTGTCATTAGTTCATTCTCGTCATGACTAACACATTACATTCTTACATGTATTTGTACTGGTAGGGCTGCATCTAGGGTTTAGAGTTGTTCGAAGTCAATGTATTATACATTCAATCCTCAAATTTCCTCCATCGTATAAAACTTTATATATTTTTTTTTTATAGTAAAGTCTGGAATTTTCGATGCATAAAAAACATTAACTAAATAAATATATCCTAAAGTATCAAATTACGTATGAAATTTATTAAATATACTTTTTCTTTGTATTTCAGACTCATATGACGCTGAGTAAATGAATATTTAGTTCAATTGATCATGTAAGTATTTGAAATTAATACATTAATGTTATTTATTTGAAATTGTGCATCCAAATGAATATTAATTAATTTTCGATAGATATTTACTAAGTACAGAATCAATAATATCTTTCAGTAATTCAAGTAAATTTTTATTAGATACCTTAGCATAGATTAAATGTTTCAATAAGTTAACGATTGAGTTTATAAGATGGATAAATATAAAAAATCATTTAGAAGATAGAATCGATTCTCGTTGAAAGAATTAAATATTTTTTCAATTAACTAAACGTTGCTTTATAGGAGATAAAGTATTTTAGTGCATCTTAATTGTTTATTTGTAATTTTCCGTAATTTTAACAATTTATCCATCATCTGGACGGTGTCCAACTATTGGGCTATTCACCCTACATCGATCGCTTGTGTGTAAAATAAAATTTAATTGAAATAGTTATTAGTGAAGCTAAAATTAGAGTGATTTTTATTAGACTGAGTCGTGTCTATTTGTGCTTTAATCAGTGGAAATGATCAGAATTTTTTCTCTTCATATGATTCCAACATATCGAAAAGTGTTATTATCAGACTCTCAACTTCTCCGTATAGCACCAGCGTTCAGAATTATATTCAAGATATAAATAAATATATTTTCCAAACTTCAATGAATACTCCTATTAATTTTTGATGAAGGTTGAAATCGGACTCCAAGTCATTATTGAATTTTTGATGTAATCCAATCCACGTAGTTGGACTGGAACAAAAAATAACAAAAATGTAGCATTTATCGGCATAATGTTTCGGAGTATATAAAACATAAGTAAATTTTTAGAAGAAACACTGTGTTTATTTACTTTTTCCTGAAGGCAATTAAGCGTCAGTGGGACGTTTATAATAGTAGCAAACAGGGTCGCGTGATTCTTGGATGCCTTTGTACTCAGCCGCTTGGTTTGTTCTTCGCGGGCTTTTGTACCTCTCCTTCTTCCGTTCACGCGAGTCTTCATTCGCAGTGAAGCGATAGAGCACAAAGGATGAGTGAGAGTGAGAGCGAGAGGAGAATAATGAGGGAAAAAGGAAGAGTAAGAAAGGGGAAAGATGAGTGGACCACGAAGAAGAGGCAACCGGATTGTGGAGATGAGGGTATGAGAGAGAAGATATGAGTTGGGTTTAAGCGTCGCCGCTGGCGGTAAAGTACGAGAAAGAGAGCGGGGGAGTGAGACGAGGATCGACGATGAGATGAAGGAGAATTATTTCCATCCTTTTCACTCTTGTACATACCAAGTAGTAGGGGATTCAGAGTCGAGCAGCAGAATAGGAAGGGGCTTGGTCTTATCGCATCGTAGAATCGCAAGACTCGCACGTACGCCAACCGCACGGTCTAACTCCAACTCTCAATACGATGTGGTTTCGATACACGACTGAGTCGTGTCGATTCCAACTCGTTTATTTCTTTTTTTCTTTCCTTTCTGGATACCTGATAGCTTCGAACTTGAACCATGAAAGACGGCGATTTATTCAACGTTCACTCCACTAAATTTAGCATAAAAAATTAGCACAGAATCTATCAATTTTTCAAACTCTTTCATCATCAAGAATTATACCTTTCACGGATGAAAAAATTATTTCGATGTATTTTTTTAGCATTACTGAGTAAAAAAAATCGAATATTTAACTGTTTAAATACTTTTCGAGGATAAATTAGTAAATATTTATTGTTGGTAGTGATACGAACAATGGTAGTTTTGTAATTGCAAATAAGTGAATATTCGCTGTTTTGCAATGCTTTTTGAAATATAAATGAAAGGTAGTCTGCTCTAATCTAACCATATCAAGGAATTGTTAAGATTTTCCTTACTCCAAAAAATCAAAATAGTTGGATTTGCTATATAAAATTACAAATTTTACAAAGTTGAAGTCTTTTTTAAAAATATGAAAAGATCCAACTGTGAGATTTTAAATATGACTTTTCCCATAACAGAAAATATTACACTATTACAATTTCGTTCAGTGCAAAAGAAACTTACAAAATTTATTGTGCTCAAAGTTTGATAACAAAACTTAATTCTGATAACTGTTGAATAATTTTTAGACTCAAAATTAATACTTGTTTTATTGCTTTAAATTAACAACTTTTAAACAGAGTGTTTTAATAAAATATTATATCACAGTACTTTAAAATCTTATTTTAATTACGAATGGTATAAAATATTTTATTAAAACGTTTTTAATATTTTAATTCATTCTAAAATTATTTTTTTTTTCAAATCTAAATTTATCTGCATGAGTAAATTAACAAATATAAAAATATTTGGTGTTAATAAATTAAAATAGAATCGTTCTCCGTTGATTTTTTGTCGATTGAGATAATACACCGTTTTGTGCATAATCGACTCCGAAAGTATGATTTTACTCATCCACCAATCATCGAAGAAATAAAAGAGTATGCATTCTTTCAGCACTAGATAGTGTTCAATATGCATAAAAAAAATTTAATCACGTAGTTTAACAATTCAAGCGAATGCATTTTAGTTGACCTTGAGATGCCCTCTTATGATAACAACTTTGTATTCTTTGAAACAATTAATTAATCAACGAAACCATTTATTATTATTTTGTTCTGAATATTGAATTTTAATTACAACAGCAACAGTAACAACAATATTTCAAGTAAACAAAGTTTATATTTTGGAACAAAGATAATAAAACGATTACATTTTCAACGGTGCGGCACATTTACCTAAATTAGTATCTTGCTGAAAGTTCATTAAAAGTACTAATAAATTAACTCTTATTGACAAATACATCTGAAATTTTTTTATAAACATGTACAGTAAAGGGAATTAATTAACTACATTCACGAAAATTTCGCAGTTAAGAAATGTTAATAATGTCTGCATAGTGATAAATAGGACATAAGGAATAAAAGTCCGTTATTTCCGAAGGTAAGTGAACCACACGACTGTGTAGATGGCTATAAATCAACAAGTACAACGGTGTAGGTCTTCACAGTCTGGTGCCTTCGCATTGGTCGGCTCATTCTGCACACCATTGGACCCACGCACGTCGTCAACGAACGACGTATAAGCCGAAAAGGCTAGTGCTAGTAAAAATAAAAGGACATCTTGAGCATAATAAACCAAAAGATAAATTTTACATTCAATTTTTAACTCAGTTCCCATCTCTTAACTCTCTTTCGTATACTCGATAAATCATTGAGAACAATGCTAATTTTTATGCAGTAAAAACTACATTCTTTATTATGTACGAGTGAAGATGTTTTCAGAATGCTTTCAAACATTTTTTTTTTTCATTTTATTTTTGCAAGTTTGCATAATGAATTCAACAAGGTAATGACATTTCAATCACCGAGATTGAGTTTATTTTTAAAAAATGAAATGGATTTAGTTGATTAAAATGGATGACTCTGTCCTGGTTATTTTCTTATATGTATTAAAAGCAAGTTGTACGCCTACGTTTGGTACGCACCGTACAATTTGTCACTTTGATCCTTTCATGCTTCATAAAGTTTAATGAAAGAGACGAGACTTATGTAATATCTTGAAAACTTAGGAGCTTCTTGATAAGAGTGATTTCATTTTTTATACATACACATGATAATAAAGATACTGCAAACAAATTCTTCCTGCTGCAATCAAGATAAGTCTCCTTCACAATCAAGTGTTGTATTCCAGAAAACCTAGGGTGTAATAGTGAGAAATCACGCGTGGGCGGGCCCCAACTTCAGATGATTTGAATGGTGGAGAAGAGCCTGAGAGTCTCAAGACGGATTTTTTAAGGAAAAGAAGGACAAAAAGATAAATGTATTATGTGAAGAGAATGCGATGAAAAGAGAAGGAAAAGTGAGAGGCAAACGATGCTGTCTGGGAGGAGAATTATACTTGCATGAGCTAATCCTCCCTCTGGCCCTCCGGCCTGAATCGTAATTAAAGCGTGCAAAGCTTTCCTACGATGCTATTTTATTGTTCGTTACTTTTCCTAAACAATTATTGAATTATTATTCTTCTTGCTTAAACCATTTTTTACAACAAGGGTTACAAGTTTTTGTCAAATAGATAATTATTTTAATTTTAATGGTTAAATATTTTAGATGATGAGAAATTATTAGATAATAATAGAAAAAAAAACTGTTTGAAGAATTGAGATCGACATCTAATCGGTTTAAGATCTACTTGCTCACTAAAATATTATTTTGTTTGCAAAGCGTTGTTACGTCTAAATTGTTATCAATTGTCATAAAACATATTTTTACATCTATCATTTATTAAGGAAAGAAGTATTTTTTGAATAAAAGTGATAAGAAACATCGAATGAGAGGATAGATTTTAAATTTTCTTTCCAATGTGGCAAGAAAAATCGTGGCTTAAAGCCCGAAAATAAAATCCTTTTTCATTTCATATGACTTGAATGACAAATCACAGAGTTGTCTAATTGATTGATAGGATTGAGAATAAGTACCTCATGTCCATTAAGGCTTAAATAGCATAAATTCATATTATAATAATTTTAAAGGCCTAAGTGCTCTTTTGAATATATGTTGTTTAATTGAATATCAGTCCTTTTAAAATAATTTTATAGTTTTGTTAATAAATCAGGTGATCCTCATAAAACCATGGGTAGTAAGATTCACTCCAATCGAGATGAAACATGCTGAATGACCTATCATTACCCTAAGAAAAGGAATGAATAAAAATTACGCTTACGTGCCATGGAATGGTGATATGCTGCAAAAAATATTGAAATTTACTCCGAAAAATAATAAAATTTATTCTGAAAGATGCAAGTACAATTTGCCTTTTCATTTCCTGAAAATTCCTATTTTGTGGCGTAAATTTTTCTATTTTTGCACGGTTATCGCGATTACACTGCACGATAAGGTAATTTTTACTCGATCTTTGACTCCATTTAGGTTCATTATTTCAAATTCAAACATTTAACTTTGAAATTATCAACGTCAGTAAATGTAATGAAGAGGAATTTTGTTTTTCTACTTGTTCGTGTCATGTCCTTTCAATAAAAGATTTTTTTATCATCCGTACGGAAAGAAATTTATTAGAAAAATTACCATTAATTTGATGATAATTTGACGACACTGCAGAATGATGGCAATAATTACTTTACTGTATAGTAATTTTTATAATCATGCTGCAGTGTCACTAAATTCACCATTTGAATCAAATTCAACCTCACTACCGGCAAAAAACACGACAACGATATGCTCCGAAAATAAAACGAAGCGGAACTCCAAAATAATTCTTAAGAAACTCCGAAAAATTATTATTATAAAAACTTGTTTTATTTTTTATTAAATACAGTATATATTTTGTATTGAACGAAGGATTGAATAAAAGTTGGACTGCTGTGCAGGATAATCGTGGTACACTGTACAGAGAATTTCAAATTTACCCTAAAAAATTGTAAAATTTATCTTTCCTCTTTGTCAGAGTCCTTATCTTGCAAGATGTTTTACGATTTTACAGGGTTAATTTTTCTATTCACGTGCGGTGCACCATAATTACTACACACCAAGGTAATTTTCATTCGATTTTTCCTCTCTTTGTAATTTAAAAAAATTAATAAATGCTTTTTTCGATTGAAAATATATTGTCTAATCAAAAGTGATATTCAATGATTGGTACAATCATAGCATTTTGGCATAAAGATGAAATTTATTGATGAATTATTTTAATTATCAATAAATCCTTTTCCCTGTGCACTTGAACTTTTTAGATTTATACAAGTGAATCCTTTGTTTACGGATCCATTGCTCATTTGTCCGTTGATTGTTTTCCATGGAGAGTGTATTCTTGAATGAGTGTTTGTTGTTCAAGTCAATATTCACATAAACAACCAATGCTTGTTTACTTTAGACAATTGTAAATACCGACTAAAAATTCAAGCATTTAATCAAGTATTTGTCTGAACGGTGAACAATGTATCTAGGTATTTACAAGAGACATTTAATTAAACCTAAATATATCAATTGATTATAATAAAAATTTAAAATTTACAAATAAATTAACACTGTTTCATTGATTTAAAAATGTTAATAATTTACTTTTCACTCTTTACCACTTGATTTAATGTTTTTATTAACTTATCTTAAGAATAAAGCGGCATAATTTCGCATTAAATGTAGGGTTTTAATCGACGAAAGTAAATTCATAATTTTTTTTTAATTTACGGCAACTAATTGAAACAAAATAATTTTAAAATTACAATATATTACATATTATATTTCCAATGAATATATTTATTGGAGGACAAAATTGTATTTTTTATCGAAACATAACAAATTGGATTTATTCACAATAAGACATAATGCTTGGACAAATATATTTAATAATAAATTTTTTAAATAATGATAAAAATTTCTTTGAAACATGATAATAATAGATTGGATAGCAACAAAGAATAATCAGAATTTTTTTTTATAATTTTCCGTCGTTATCGTATAGACTCAATCAGATAGAATTTACTTAATGCAACAGAATGTATTGTTCTGTTGACGATATTTACTAACACGTGCCGATGAGTTGTTAACAGTTATGCTGGTGTGACACATTTGCCTTGTGGAGTGGAAGTACAAGATAAATTACATTACGTGAGTTTTCCACGTGAATCCTTTTCACATATTTCATATATCAGCTGACATTCATACTCTTCTACTGCGCAGTCTATTACTGTTATTTACTCACATAAACATGTTCAAAAATTGGGTTTTAAAATTTTTAGGTCGTTACTTAAAATTTTGCCCGTTAAAAATGAATTTGACAGCAATCTACATGTGATTTTTTTTACTTTTGAAAAAAGAATAAAATTTTTTATCAAAAGATTTATAATGATTAAGAAGATTCTGTTCTATTCCATACATTCTAAAAACTTGTTAATTACTATTTGGTACTTGTTGAAAAAAAATGTCATCATTGCAATTATAAAGGAGGGAATAGCTTAAAAGTTTATTAATAATAACATCTTATGTATCATTGGTTATTTACTAGATGGTGGTGATTATTTATGTGCAACTTTACTCTAGTAAGAATCAGCTGATGGTAAAAATTTTAATTAAGTTCTTACTTGAAGTATCAAATTCATTTTAATGTTAAGATAGTTATATGCAATTGTTTAAAAATAAATATGATAAAAGAAGTCACGTATGATAGATAGATGTAGAGAATGAATTCATATCAAATCTTTGGCATGAGACCAAAATTTCTAAAAAATGTATCATCACATTTGTAATTCCAATATTGATTGATTATAGTTTATCATTTATTAATTACTGTTATTCGTTCAATCATTTTTTGTTTCATTTGTTTTTTTATAAAAATTTCTTCATATATTGTCTAGTTGTTCTTTCTATATTAGTTAATACATTTTGTAGTAAAAAAATTAATTCCCATTCTGGTAAAAGAAATATTGACAGACTTCTGGCCTAGTTGTAGTTAACTGTTACTGGGCTTACTATTGTTTCTACCAGAATATTAATAAATGTTCAAAGAATTCATATTATTTGTGCTTATTAGTTGTCTTCTTGAAAGAGACTACCATTTGTTTCGAGAGATCACAATATCTCTGTGAGGGATCGAACTCCTATGAGAGATTTTGCGAGACGAAAAATGGTGTATAGAAATGCTGAAAGACTTCGATCAACTGTGGGGGATTATTTCGGATTCGATATTTCAAAGATTGAAAATTTCATCCTTGGTCGAGATATTTTTTAATAGCTACAAAAACACAATGATCTATATTTACGTATTGTTGATCTTACTATTAAAAAGATCTAAAACTTAAAGTCTTATGAATCGCAATGTTTTTATGTTTAATAATTTAATAATTATTTCTAAGCACAAAAGTTAGTAGTAGATTTTTGGAAAGAGTCATTTTATCTCGACAAATTATCTTGTCCTAGTTTTCCCCATTATTTAACTGCTATTAATACATTACGAATTCGTAGTGAAATTTATTCTCTGAATTGTATAAATAAAACTTGATGTAGATTTTTCATTGTGTGTGATATTGTTTTCGTTATAATTATCCATTTTTTTTTTATTTTTAGGGTCAGACGATTCGTGTTGGTAAACAAAGTGAGGGTTTCCACTTCATTGTTTGGTGAGTGTAATTAAGTCTTACAAACAAAAAACAAGCACTTCTCGTGACTAGCAGACCTAGTTTACAAATATTTTTCTCTTTAATATTAAAAATATTGGAAAGCATAGTAACAAAATACGTGAAACATTTTATTTAAATAAATAAAGCATCGACAAATATTCGATGATTTATTTTTTAGCTTCTTTATTGTTATTATTTAATAAATACTAGGCTATTATTTCGATCTATCATTATAAATGATGGAACGAATCGTTCATTAAAATTTCGAAATTCCTGAATTTATAATGACATATAAATTATTAATTAATAATTCATTAACTTTACTAAATGTATTATATTACGAGTTATTATTTTTCGTTTAAAAGCTCAATATTATCATTAAACTTGTAACGAATACATAAGAATAGATTTTTTAGCATCATAGTCAAATTAACTTGAATCAAACGGCTAGATGGAAAACATATTTTAAAGCATGCAGTCGTAGGGAGTGACATAAAGAGGGGGACAAACCACGTGATAGCCTAACACGTGACGCATGTTATAAAACCGGCTACGGCGTTTCTGCTGTACTCGGCTTTATCAACAATGATTGCAATAATAACAGGAAATATAATTTGCAGTTTTTATAAATGCCCTTAAGCTGTTCCCCCAAAAATTCTTACCACCAGGTAAATTGAAAGCAAGCCACATTTATTTTCAATTTCGATAAAATGTTGTAAATATAGATATGAATGTAGCAGACTGGTGTATTTCGAACAAAACTTTCAATTAATTTAGTGTAATTATTTTCAAGTGGTTGATGGCTTATTTAAAATAAGTATAATTGTGTGATTTTTATGTGTCGTGTCTAAAGAATATGTATACACAAGAATTGATGTCAGGAGATAGCATATAAATGACATGTTAGGTGTTATTTGAGGTCAGATGGTTATTGCAGTTTAATGCAAGTTATTTTTACTCAATCAGACTATTGGAACAAACTATACAATCGCGTCCATCACAGTGTTTTTTATTCAGGTTGTTTTGTCGAGAGCGAGAGGTATATTAATGTGACCTAAGGTTTTAATAGCTAACTGTACTAGGTAATCATATATTTATACAATTTACTGACACTATTAATTACTTGACAGTTTACAAATACCTTTTATACATACTCTATCTAATTGTTCCTAACAGTAAAATTTTTTAAAAAGGACAGGTCTTACTTAATACTTGCTATGAACAATTTTACAAAAATAAATTAAAAATTTGAACAAAAAAACATAGTTAAAATTACTTTTAAGAGTAATTTTATTTTAAATCCTTCTGATACAAATCCGGAACACAATTAAATTTAAGAGTAAGGACTAACGACGTCACTAGTGAATTACGTCATCAATATCAGACGTCGTAAATGTAAACAAACCCACATGATTAGGGGATGTTCATTAATTAAATATGAAGAACTTATTTATTTAGTTAAATACATACATAAGTAAGCTATAAATAAATTTATTTTGTCTATACTCCAACAAAAAATAAAATCAAAATACAGAATTTTCTGTTGAGGATAGTGTTGGACCAGAATATAAATATAAGTCAGTCAATTGAAATTGTTTGGTGACTTTATTTAATATACATATATAAATGTGTGGTCTTTACAGCAAGGCTGCTCTAGTTTAATTGAGAACTGTTTACATCTTTCAAATGAAGATAAGGAATTAGGCTACGCGTTAGAGTGTGTGTAAATGTGTTTATTATATTAATTCTCTAACATATCCTGTGGAGGGAATGTTAAGTAGATTTGTGGGGAACAAAATTTTGTTATACAAGAAATGCGAAATATGTAACATGACAAGTAAATATATTAATGTCAAATATATTATTACAATCTCTAATGAGTCGGTAGTTTAGGAGATTGACTTTATCTTCGATACAGAATTATATTTTAATTATTCTTTTTTATCAATAGCAAATACGATACAAATTACGATATTATTCCGGAAAATTATAAACTAACAAAATATTCTAGCAATTACAGTTTTTTATTTTTTTCAGAAAGGAATTTTCATTTTTTATCATAACAATAGACAATAATTTTTCTCTGGGAATGGTTCTTTTTTAACTTTTAGAATCTTAAGGATTACAAGTTTTCACCCCTGCTGTGTTGCTTGTAGGCGTTAATGGGTTAACTGGTCTCTGTGGGAGTGACCATCGATCCTTACGCAGGTTGTCTATTTTAGTTGAATGCAAGAATTTTTTATACCAGATACACTTATTACTTAGATTGAAATTTATAACCATTGATATTTCATTACATCGAACAATAAATTCTCATTGTTCATAAATAATTGAAAACAACTGATAATATGTCTTAATGAGAGGAAGCCATTATTTTTGTTCCTACTTAATTATCAACTTGACGACCTCTCTTCTCCGTTCATATCGGAATTAAACATTTTTTTTAAATAATTGTAATCAGAAAAAAATGTTTAAATTAGGTATAAAAAGGTTCTTTAGAATTACCATGATTAATGTATAACTTTCTCAGCATGTCTGATTTGAAAAAATGATATTGATTGATTAGTTTGATTCTAAGCAAAAAGAAAATACCTAATGATTATATAAAATCTTCAAAACTATATTTAAAATATAATTGTATGAATTAACATTCGTTATTAAAATATTAATTTTATGTATTGATATGAATTTTATCCTCGTAATAATCTTGTTGAGTGTTCATTGATCGTTTCCGTGCTTGAACGATTACTCTCTGCTTATTCAGGATAAAATTTTCAGTCTCTCAGCGGGTCTGAGAATCTCTTCCAATCTTTCTGAGAGTCTCTTAACCTTTATCGTGCTCAATTTCATATCTCTCGGATTTTTTTTGTACGATTTTTTCGTGAAGATTGAGGTATTTCATGATCCATAGGTTAGCCATAAGAGCTAGCTATATACAATTTTTAAAATAATATGTCGACTCAATAATAACTTTTCCATATCTATCATAGTTCGGCCAAAAAAGCGAGCTTACAAATTAAATTGTTTATAAACAATTTATTTAGAACCAGTAGTTTTATAGAAAATAACCGATGGATTCGGATTCTAAAACTAAAAATGTATCAAAATAACTAAAATCGAGTTAACATATCATTTAAACAATTGTATACAACTTTTATGGATCATTATTATTATAATACTCTACAATGTGAACTTTAATTGTTATGTAATCATTCTATATACTATAAATATATATATGTATAGATTCTTACGCCCTCTCCAATCTTCAAACCTCCTAAACGCATCCCTTTCTAATTTTGGGTCCACCCCTACACTTATCTCAAGACAACACTCTTGAAGTAGTCACTTATCTATCTACTCTTGAATGAGTTCTTCCGTTTTAAAATTATGAGTCTTTGGCAATTGTTCATGGTGAGCAGAATAATTTCAATCTCTATTTTTATGTGTAATTATCAATAAAGGACTTTTGTCTCAAAACTAAACTATTATTTTATCATAGGGACATACAAAATAATTGACAAATGTAAGTTTTTCATTAATTGTAAGAAGCAATAATGACTCAGTCCAGGCTCACCATTGAACCAAGGTTGAAAACCGTACTGCAAATTCCAAGATTTCACAAACGTGTTAAATTAACATGCGTAAAGTGTGTTTAATGTAAAATGTCCGTCAACAAACTATACATGATTTGTAGACACTATTTACACGTTTCATAGTGTGTGAAAAATCTATAATTTGTTTATGGAATTTCATATTATTAACACTTGGATTTGCAGTGCAATGTTGAGTCAACAATGTGCTAATCTTGTTTCCAAAGGAATTTATCTCTCACAGAATAATTCTAGTTGAAATCTCAGCGATTGTAGTCTTTTGAAACGATCTACGAAGGTCTCTTTACGGAAAATCTGCCAGATTAGACCTAATCTGATTTATTGATACCTCGGATGGAAAAATGTTGATAATCGGATCTAGAGTGTCTGACTTTCGTGTAAATACCTTATGGAGTTGAAAATTGCTCTGAAATTCTTCTGCTCAGAATTCTTTCAGATGTTCTTTTGGGCCTCCAAGTAGAACAAGTAAAAAAGATTCTGGACTGAAATTGAAGCTCTGCATATAATCCTTTTTGTCTTTGTTTAACTTCTTTAAAGTCCAAATTCTCAAGTAGAGGTAGGCAAACTTTGCTCAATTGACTTAAAACCGCTCATCATCAGTCCAACAAGTGAGCGAACAAGGCATTAGGCATCAAAATCTTTGCAAGTCTTTCTCTCTGTAGCTTTCTAGAAATCAAAGTTTGCTCTCTTTTGCTTTTGGGATCACAATATGTTCTTCAGGTATACGCCGAACCCTTAATAAGCCATCTTCCAACTTCTACTGGTTGCTTTACAGATCAGTCTTTCATTCAGAGACTCCGAGAGACTGAAATTTCATTCTGAGTATTTATCCGAGAAAAATATATCAGGGAACTAGAAAGACTCAAGAGTTCTTTGGATATTTCGTGTGTAAAAATCAACTGCTACAATGTTTAAATACAAGAATAAGCAAACACATTTATATCAATTGTTAATTAGTTATTTATATACTCAACAAGAAAGCATCAATTTTTTATTTCTTAAGTAATAATTTATTAAAAGAGTGGCAATTCGCGTTCATAAATAAAAATGATTTACGATCAACGTCGGAGGTAAAACATTTTCATAGAAATTGAATACATTTTTTATTGATTATTAAAATGTTAATTTTATATAAACATAAAAGTTGTAACTATTTTAAAGTTATATCCATAAATATCCATAAACTAATTTAGTAAGCAATTTTGCAATTGTTCGTAAGGTAAATTTCTAAGAAAGTTTTATTATCATCATACAAGAATTTTTCTTTAATAAAATATATTAATGCATGGTAATAACTTCTATTCACATAAAAAAAATGAATGAAAAGATGTATCATGTATTAAAATTTATTTGATGGTACGTAGCAGTAAAATATGTAAAACAAATTCC